TGAAGATATTTTGTAAATTTCCTACCGTAAATGTATTAAAACGTAATTTTTGATTAGTAATATGCATTGCTAAGAACTTCATTTGGACAACTTTAAAGGCGATTTTCTCAATATTTAGATTTTTTGCACCCTCAGATTCCAGATTTTCCAATAGTTGTATCTCGGCCAAGTATCCTATGTCCTAAATGTCCTATCCTAACAAACCATACATCAATTGAAAGCTTATTTATTCAGCTTTCAGATGATGCACAAATCTCTATTTTTGAAAAATTGACACTTATGACTGGTTTTGTGGTCCAGGGTCACACACACATATATAATTGTTATTATTATTACAATTATTATACTATTGTTGCTTTTGTTAAAATAATCACAAGATGGTCACAAGATGAATATTCAGATTTTTTCCCCAGTAGTCTGTTTTATTCAAACAATTATGAACATGTTTGCATTTGGATACAGAAGAACTTTGCCTGTTGAATATTAAAAACAAATGAACAAACAAAAAAATCTGGATCTCCATGTCTGCCATGCAAATAAACTGTTCCTGTTCATTCCCAGACTGGAGCTCTTCTCTCCACTTTCTCTAATTGCAGATTCAATTATTAGATTTGTCAGTATTAATATTTTTATGCTTAGATTTTTTTTTGGGGGGGTCAAACTGTAACACCGTGTGTCCCAACCTGACTGAGTCAAACCTCTTCCTTTCCTGTCATTACAGACTAATAACAAACAAGCTGCTACTATCAGTTATTATCATCATGGAACTGGTCATCTTGGCAGGAGTGGTCTACTTGAAGTTCTTCCGAAAGTAGGCAATGAGACACACAAGACTGTATAAGACTTCACCTTTCCCTCTTCTTATTTCTGATGTTCACGGGTGTCTGGCCAGATGACAATGTGCTGGATGCTTTAGTGACTGTGAGTGTCACATGGACGTTTATGGGCAGTTATTTTAAGCGCTAAACTGTATTAGCGTAAGTACTGCTCTCAGGGTGAAAAGAAGATGGTGAGTATGGTACATTGAGACTGCTGGAGGATCTGTACAAAGATGGCGTGACAGTGTTACTCCCTCCTTAGCTGTCTTGAACAAGGTGCCAAATCTAGTGGATGTATGAATGGACTGTGGAAACAGAAGGATCCAGTGAAAGGAGTAACAAATAATATATATGCAACCTGTCTGCATTTTTACACACATCAATCATTTTAAAGTCATGGATCGCTCAAAAATTATAATTCTGTCATCATTTACTCACCCTCATGCCATTCCAAACCTTTCATTGTTCATACAGTGAAAGCCAATGGGGTCCAAAACCACACTGGTCCCAACTGACTTTCATTGTTTGGACAAAAATTAATTCTTCAAAATATCTTCTTTTCTCAACGGTTTGGAATGACGAAAGGGTGAATAAATCATGACAGTTAGTTTTTTTCTGAGTGAACTGTCCCTTTAACTGATACTGAACTTTTAACAAAATTATCTTGACAGAATTACATTGTGTATTAGACTTTTCTGAGACAAGTGTTAACGTGGAATTAAAAGTAACAGCTCTTGGGTTTCGTTCTAGAAAATGGGTGTGTTTTCCTTTAACTTATCCTCCAATCAGTCAAAACAGAGCTGAGTGTACTCCAGGCCAAGAGAATGACAGCTATAAACATGCACGTCACCTGCTTCACAAGGCCTGGTTGGAAGAGAAAGGGGTGTGTTTAGCCTGTCAGATATGTGGGTAGACATTATTGTAAACATGACTGAGAATAAAGTGACACGAACACCTGCTATAGTGGAAATACCAGTGTCCAGGGCTATCAGGTCACCTTGACATACTGACTTTTCCCCAGTTTACTGATGGTATTTCTAGTCATGTAAGGCCAAAACAGCAGAAATATCAGTGGAGACCAGTCATACGCAGTCATGTGTTTGTGATTGATTTGAGGTGTTAGCAGGTCATTCACATAACATTCTGTTGTCATATGCTGATGTTTCAATGTCATGATGGGATTATAAATGGGGCGTAGCAGGTGAATCAGCTATTGACTGAGTTATTAGTTTATTACTAAGGTAAACACCACCGTTACTAATACTTAAGGTGAATGATTTGAACAATTACATTTTAGAAAATTGATAAACATTAGTTTACTAATCAAATCTAAATCTATAGTAAACCTAGGTGTCTAAATCTAAATTTCCGTATTGTCTAAATTATCTTCCAATGAAGTGAGTTATTATTTAGATCAGGGATTAATCCCTAATCTAAATGCTCATGTTATAAAATAACAAAATTAATTGATTGCAAAGTTCAGAGAAGGGTTATAAGGTCTGTATATCTTTTAAGTAAGACCACTTTATGTATTTTAATGTAAATATTTTTTTATTAAACATTTATGTATGATTGCTCATATTGACAAAGCAAAAACAGAATTGTCACAACTTCGTAAATTAACTAAAAATAAAAAAATTTAAATAAGTACATTGCATAAGTATTCATACCCTTAACTAAATATTTAGCTGAAGCACCTTTACAGCCTCAAGTCTTTTTTTGTTTGATGCAACAAGCTTTGCTCATCAGCATTTGGCAATTATCTGCCATTCTTCACCTCTCAAGCTCTGTCAGGTTGGATGGGGGCAGACACACATTTTCAGGTTTCTCCAGAAATATTTGATTGGGTTCAAGCTCAGGCTCTGTCTGGGCCACTCAAGGACATTCACAGAGTTGTCTATAAGCCACTCTTCCTGTGTGCTTAGGGTCATTGTCCTGTTGGAAGGTGAACCTTCTGCCCAGTATGAGGTTCTGAATGCTCTCGACTGGGTTTTCATTAAGGCTATCTCGATATTTTGGTGCATTGAGCTTTTGAGTTCTGACGAGTTCCTCAGTCCCTGCCACTGAAAAACAGCCCCACAGCAGGCTGCTACCAGCACACTTTACTTTTGGTATAGTAGCCTACTCTGCAGGTGATAAGCAGAGTTGGTTTCCTTCAAACATGATGCTTAGATTTGAGGTTCATCAGACCAGAGAATATTATTTCTCACAGTCTGAGGGTCCTTTAGTTGCTTTTTTGCAAATTCTAAGTGTGTTTTCATGTGTCTTAACTGAAGAGAGGATTGAATTTGGACACACCAGCATAAAGCCCAAATCGATGGAGTGTTGCGGCGATGTTTGTCCTTCTGTAGGTTTCTCCTATCTCCACATATGATCATGGAGCTCAACTAGAATGACCATCAGGTTCTTGGTCACCACACCAACCAAAGCCCTTCTCCATTAGTTGCTCAGTTTGGCCAGGAGGCCAGCTCTAGGAAGAGTCCTGGTTTTCCATTAAGGGTAACAGAGACTACATGCTTCTGTGAACCTTCAATGAAGCAGAATTTTTTTCTGAACTCCTTCCCAGATGTGTGTTTGATGCAATCCGGTCTCTGAGCTCTACAGGCAGTTCTTTTGACCTCAGGGCTTGGTTTTTGCTCTGATATGCATTATTAGCTGTTAGACCTTTTATTAAGATGTGTGTGCCTTTCCAAATCATATCCATTCAATTGAATTTGCCACAGGTTAACTTCACTCGAAGTGTAGTGACATCTACAAGCAATATGAATGCTCCTGAGCTAAATTTGAACTGTCCCAGATAAGGGTATGAATACTTACGCAAAGGAATAATTTAAATTTTTTATTTTTAATACATTTGTGAAGATGTTAAAAACCTGTTTTTTGCTCTACCATTATGGTGTACGGAGTATAGATTGATGTGGGAAAAAAGTAATTTAAAGCAGTTTAGCAGTTTAGGCAGCAATATAACAAAACGTGAAAAAAAAATTAAGGGGTATGAATACTTTCGCAAGGCACTGTATATATATATATATATATATATGATGGGTATACATTAGGCTACCTCTTAAGCATTTCGGGAGTAATAAAATTTAATAAAAATTGGTGCCATAAAATAATCCCCAAACAGCTGTCAATATCAAACAAAAATATTTAAAGTGGTGTTCTTTTTTTTTTAATCTCTGTTTGTAAACTACATGGGCACAATCAGAGATGAACCAGTCAAAAGTAGTTATTTGTGAGCAAAGGCAAAGTTTCTTGTGTGAATCCGATGCAACATTTTTTTGAGAATGCAAAAGCATTGACATTTTTTCCCCCCATCTCATATTTTTTTCCATCACCGTGTCCCTTTAGTAGCTCTGTAGAGCACTAGTAATCCAGATTTTCTGGATCATTGTGATCCAGTCCATTTTGCTTTGAAAAATCTGAAAATATGGACTACCTGATCCTGGATAGCAAAACATGGGATTACCAAATCAGATCATTATCATCCAAATTAAGCTTTTTGAACAACTGGCCCTAGTTGTTTCAAACTAACCAATCAAATACAAGTCACAGTCTGTCTCCAGTACATTAGTTTATTGCAAGAAATTTTTTTTTTACTGAAACAGAAATGCAACAAACCAAACTTTCCCTAAGAAGATACTTGTACTGGTGGTGAATTCAGATCTGAAAGGGTGTACAAAATGCATTTTATTTAAATAGATATGAAAATTACTGAAATAACTTACTTCAAATGCGCTATTTAAAAAAAGATCACACAGTTTCAACCTAACCAAACCTGAAGGATTAAATTAGCCATTAAAAGCAGTCCTACTATACAAAAAACAAACGTAGAAATACAATAAAAACCTGTTCTGGTCCAAAAGTGCAAACATGTTTCAAGTGAAAGAAAAATCAATCAGTCCACCACAGTAAAGAGTCACCTCAGCCTGCAAAAATATGCACATTTGCTTTTAGATCACTTTTTCCTGCAGTAAGTCCCAGAGCATGATCAGGGTTATCCACTAATCCCATGAGAGCTAACAAATGTTAAAAAGATTTATTTTTCTGCTAGATTAGTCCTCAAACATAGAGAATCCAGATCTCAGACCTTTTTTAGCCAAAGCAAAATTAGTAGTAGGTATAATAAAACAAATCTCACCCATGTGTTTATAGTAGCACTTCACCAATGAGGTGACAATGTTTTTTTTTTTTTACCAAGACTACAGTAACCTTCAAATGAAATCTTTAGCCTGGTGCTCAGTCTCTGCAAACCCTTAAGTGTCATTCTTTTAGACTTTGGAATGCAAAGTGCTTGGTTTTTCAAAGTCCTCGATGATTATCTGATGCTCTAAAGCCGCAGTTCGGTGTCCTCTTTTGGTTCTGGAATCTTCGGGAAGGTGATGTGTGCACCTTCACGTGTCTGACCGAGAGCAGATGCGATGATATCAACGGCTAGGCTAGTTGTGGCCTCCAAAGCCTCAGGTGTCGCACCTAGTGTGGGGTTCACTTCAACCACATCCATCACAGAGAGTAAACCTGTGTAGTCCAAAACAAAAAATATTAGCGTCAAGGTTTTTGGATTTATTTGATTTCAAAGACATCAGTTATGTGAATGGTAGATCTGTACCTGTGTTATGGATCTCCTCTGTTACGTAGATGCCCTCTCTATAGGTCAATCCTCCATTAACGGGAGTTCCAGTGGCAGGAGCCAGGGACGGGTCAAATGCATCGATGTCAAAGCTCAGATGGATCGGCCTTTGTTTCCTGATATAAAAACAAATAACAGTGACAAATTACATAGGTTGTTTGATTGTGATGTAGTGTAAACAGATGAAACTGAGATAAAGTGCTACAAATTATTTATGACATTAAACATGTAAGTCAGGTTAAAGAAGGCCGCTTGTGAGCTTGTATTCCTCCAGAAAACTATTCTGCCCCCATTTACAAAGTTCAATAGTACACAGGAGGACTACATGTAGAATAAGCAGCAACATGCAATTTGTTGCTGGTTGTTTACAGAAGCACCACTACTAGGTAAATAAGTGTGTATGTTTTTCGCAATATCACTATACCTTGCCAAGAGGTGATCCAAAGTGACCTCCATTACCCTCTGAATGCCCATTCTGTCAATATCCCGCATGGAGAAATATTGGATTCCCAGGGTCTTCAGGATTATACTGTGAGAGAGCAATAAGATCAAATTGGCTAGTAAAATAAAAGTAGTGATGCTGTTTTTTCTTTCTCTTTATATATGCAGTACACACACACACATACTGTATGTATTATAGTGGATTCACCATCCAAATTGGTCTGATTTAGTCTCATGTTGGCTTCATCATAAACATTTTATTTTGTGCCCTATTGGTGGTTACAGATAATGTTAGTTATATTAATAGCCTATGGATTGCAACAATTGGTGATTTAGTAGCAAAAGCCATGTAGTGTCATATAGAAATGTAGGTAGAAACACCCATAGGTGGACACTGATGAAGGTCTAAACAGCTGATGGGGCCCACGAGGACAGAACCAGACCAGCCGCAGTGACTTCGTGGCAGTGTTGAATTACTCATCATCAGATTTTAAATGACCAATGATGGACTTGCATACCATCATGTGGCCTCTTAACAGGAATAGACGTGAACACTGTTGCACAGTTAAGTTTTAAATAAGTATATTTAAAATACTAGATTTGAAAACAAGCAAACTATGAGGAAATGAAGGAGTTGGCCATGATAGTAGCATGAGGGATGGTCGTCATAAGCTAAGACAGAGGTAAGGGTTACATTTGTATTGACTTAACTGCATTTGAAGACTTCAGGTTCATTTGCAGTTCTTGCTCAAAGACATTTTTGGATTTTGAGAATAAGCATGTTACATTTCAGCATTCTTTTGTGTATTTAATGTAACGCCTTGCCATATGCAAGACATTTACAACCAACAGTTGGTGAAGAGCAAGACTATATTTGTTGCATTGGATAAGGTAAGCTCTGATATAGTTTGGTCAAGAATGCTCGCCATATATGGTGCTATGGTTATTTTCACAACTACAAACATGTGATGCCATGCGCCTGTTAAAGTGATGCAACAAATCATCATTGTATCATTAGGTTCTACAGATATTTTTAAGTTAAAATTAAGGCTGGACAATAATTAAATATCAATATATATCGCAATATTTTTTTTTCAATAACGGTGATATGATTTTAAACATTTCCGATATTTCAATATACATTAACAGTGTTTCCCATATTGATTTATTTGTGGTGGCCTGCCACAATATCAACATTGACCGCCACAAATAGATTGTCCAAAAGGCTTTGACAGTTTGACTTAGTTGAATAAACATAACAAAATCAAAATGCGGCACAGGTGTTTTATATGAATGTATCTTTGAAGGGAACCTTCAAGAAAAGTTTCGATGGCATTTTCATTTTATTTGATAAAGTAGCGTTCATGAGCGCTGCTTTGTTTATAGCTGTTACTGGGAAAACCGCTGTTTCTGCCGCGCCAAAAGCGCCTCCTGCTGGCAGAGAATGAATTTGCATTTTCAATCAGCCCGTCTCCAGCAACATGTATTTTTGTTGTTGCTCGCTCTTTTTTGTTTTCTGCAGCAACTGAGCACTTTTCATATTCTTTATCCTCAAGCGTTCAAGCACTTTAGTTTCAATTTTCAAGAATAATCAGCCTTATGTTATAGTTTATATAGTTATAGTTTAGTTTAGTTAAAGATATTAATATTAATAAGGTGACGGTGATTTCACATTTCTTGTTAGTATGAAGGCTAAATACAAATAAAAGGTGAACATTAATTTATTTGTACCGTTTTTATTTCTTTAAAATATTATATAGTATTTATTTCATTTCATTATTTTATAGGAAGAGGTTTCATATAGGCTTAGCAAATTAATTTTTTTAATGTAATTTTTTTCAGAAATGTTTAGGTACAGACATCCGTTGTAGGCTTCTTCTTTTTTTTTAATATTGCTCATATCGATATAGTATCGACCGAAATCAAGAAATATATTGTGATATAAATTTTGGCCATATCGTCCAGCCCTAATTAAAATACTACTATACATAGACACACACACACACACACACATATATATATATATATATATATATATATATATAATCCGAATATAATTCCTTAAATTCTGATATTAAAGTTTTTTCCTCACGCAATCCAACGTACTAAAGTGTCCCAAGAAAAATCCCAATAAAATGTCCAAGAGAAATAAGTCTGTAAAAGAGCTAATGAGACAAAAAATATATACAACAGCGCCCCATTTTCAGCGATAATAAGGGGAAATCCTCCTCAGCTAAGGTCAAACGGGGTCTTCGAAGCTGTGTCATAAGTCATTTGTTCTTAACCACCGACGGAAAAAATCTCAGGCTTAAGATAGCAGGAACTATCGCATTACATGGAGATCACGGAGTTACGTAAAGCGGCCCTCCGCTCTGCACGATGTTTGTGATTAACAGCTGACTGACTGACTGACTGACTGTGGCCGAGACTGACGAAGTGACTTGCACATTCCGACTAGTAACTCTGGAATGTCATGACTCAAGCATTTGACGTTAAAGGCGAATTACGCCTTCTTTCCTGTTATTATTAGAAGTAATAGCAGTAAGCCGCTAGGCATGTACAAACTAATATTCTGGTAGCAAGTCGATACTAAAATTAAAAAGATGTAACGATGTCACTCTCTCTACAGTACCAGCAGTGGCTGGCTCGCGCCTGGCGGTAAAGTGGATGCTCGCGTGCTTTTTTACAGTCAGTGAATGGCACGGACAGATACACTTAAAAATTCAGTGAAAATGCTCATCTTTGTCGTTTATCAATGTAAACACGGCAAGTTATTTAAATAATAATAATAATAATAATATTATTCAGGGAAATCTACAGTAGTCGTTTTGGAATAAAAAAAAACTTTTGACACATGACTTTAAATGCACGAATGTTTAGAACTGGGAAAAAATTAACCACTGTTTTGTGTTGTTTAACAGCTCTTAAGTGCTTGCCTTTAAGATTTAAAAATAGCATTAGTTTTTGCTTTATTGAAAATGTGTCAAAAATCGTGAAAATTCACTGGTATTCGTGACTACTGTAGACAGTGGATGTTTTTCCTTTCCACCTCGTACTTTTCAGAAAGAAAATAGGCTATAATGCATGACACATTCATTGTTTATTTAGTTAGTTCATAAGGAATAATTAATTATGGAAACTTGTAATTAAAAACCACGAATGTTCTCCAGTAATTTGAAGCCACCCGTTCCAGAGCTTTTGTTACAGTGTCCTGGCGGGAACTGCTTTCTACGGTGGCAGAGAAGTGCAAAACAAATCACAATTCTGAAAACAAAATAACAAATTACAAACCCAAATGCAAGTCTAAAAAACTAAATAACAATGCAGAAAACACAACAACAATTCAGAAAACACAAGTCAGAAAACAAAATGACAAATTCGAAAACAATACAACAAGTCAGAAAGCACAACAACAATTCAGAAAATATAATAAGTCAGAAAACACAACGACAAATCAGACAAACCGGAAGAGGTAGGTATAGTTTGAGACAGCGCCATTGGTTTGGGATTACTCACCTCTGACTGGACGAGACATCTGTCAATCAACGTATACAGGAAGAACCAGCCGAAGAACAGCAGAGTCGTGGTAGAAAGTTCGGAGATGGTATTAAAGTAGCTCAGTTTAAATGTATTGTATGAATTGCCCTTACTATGGAATAAAAAATACGGGGTGTCTATTTACATTTAGTTAAAAGTGGCTGTAAACCATCAGCTCCAGTGGCACAGATGGATAAGCGCGTGTCGTTGGCTTTTTGACGCGATCGACCCGGGTTCGATCCCATCTTTTGCCGAACTTTTTTTCCTCCCTTTTCAAATCTCGCATTAGCAATGGATTCTATTTACGCTATGTTAAAATAGCAGGATTTCTACTATCAAGTATACTACTTGTTGCAAATAGTGGCAATTATCTGCACTTCAGTAATATAGTACATTATAAAACAGTATGCAATAATAACGTATTGAGTGTAAATTATAATTTAAATTATTACATGGATGCCACCTTATTGGTACAATAAAGCCCTCCCTACACCTATCCTAACCCTACCCGATATTTATTTTCAACTTTTTGATTATTTCCTTAATTTTTATTGAAAATAAATGCCTTTACGATGATGATATACGAGATTTGAAAAGGGAGAAAAAAAAAGTTCGGCAAAAGGCGGGATCGAACCCGGGTCGATCGCGTCAAAAAGCCAACGACAAGCGCTTATTCAGCTGTGCCACTGGAGCTGATGTTTCACAGCCACTTTTAACTAAATGTAAATATACACTCCATATTTTTTATTCCATAGTAAGGGCAGTTCATACAACACATTTAAACTGAGCTACTTTAATACCATCTCCGAACTTTCTACCACGACTCTGCTGTTCTTCAGCTGGTTCTTCCCTGTATATGTTGATTGACAGATGTCTCGTCCAGTCAGCGGTGAGTAATCCCAAACCAATGGCGCTGTCTCAAACTATTCCTACCTCTTCCGGTTTGTCTGATTTGTCATTGTGTTTTCTGATTTGTTATTATATTTTCTGAATTGTTGTTGTGCTTTCTGAATTGTTATTTAGTTTTTTAGATTTGCATTTGCGTTTGTAATTTGTTATTTTTTTCAGAATTGTGATTTGCTTTGCACTTCTCCGCCACCATAGCTTTCACATTTACTGGCAGCGGTTAATCCATGACAGAAATCCCATGACCTCATCAGGTTCATTTCTGACTAGCCTGGGCGACCCAAAATAACACCTGCCTGTATCACGCTCCACCTGAAAAATGCATTCAGGTCCACATCTTTTTATTTATTTATAAATGAGTTTGCAGCCTGAGTCAGCTCATCTGAAACCTTATCCTCACTACAACCCTAATTGTACAAACATTAATAAGGCCATAAACTTATGACCCCCCCCCCCTTTTCACTTTTTCATTGCTGTACCTCTGTGATAAATCGCTTTAGTTAAGGGTCATTCACTGAACTGATTTTTTTTTTAAACGTTTTTTTTTTCGTTTAAAAACGCCAAGACACCGGGTGGGGAAATTACTAAAAACTTAAGTTCCATAGACACGTTATTTAAAAGTTAAAAAAACCTAAAACAAAACAATGGAAAGCAGCGCAGTGGAATGCAAAGCCGCATTCTGTACGAATGGACCCGCATACCGTTCCTGAATTAAACGTTGCTTTGAATAGATGCGTTTGCTAAATTAAAGAAATTCTAAGTTCCCTACTGCGCCATCCCTAAAGTATATTGTGAATAATAATACCCTATTGTTATGTGCTGCGGCTCGTCCCATAGCATTTCTGAATGTGTGGAGGACCTGTAGTGACACACGTACTGTAAATCTACACTTCACTTTCTCTCTCACTGCGGCCAGACAACATCCAAAACTTATTCACTGACCGAAACTCTTTCACTTAAAGTATTCCAGTCATAAAATAATAGCAAAACTATTATTGCTACATTAAACAGATTGTAAATGAATTTACGTTTGGATCGTTGTGTGATGTAACAGTTAATCCAGCGCTCTCTTTCTGATCCTCACCCGCCACGAATCTATTTAAAGGCATAATTCACCCCAAAAACCAAAATCGTCACGCTCAGCTAAAATTGAATATTTACCTTCTTGTTTCAAACCCGCATGCCTTCTTTACAAACTTATTTGATCATCAAAATGACAACCTCGCTCAGTCATCATGCAACTTTCAATGCACCAAAAAAAAAAAGATGCAATAAAGTGAATGGTTACTTAAGCAGTATACTTAAGTATCCTTTGGAGGGTACATAAATGATGACATAATTTTCATATTTGGGTGAGTTATCCAAATATATATATAATTCCCCGAGTCTATTGAGTCTTAAAAATCTATAAATCTATCTACCTCTATATGTCTAGAGAGAGATACATAGATAATACTAATGATGTACTTACCCAGATTTGAAAGTCTCTCCACCAAACCCGCATCCCGGATGGCTTTGGGTCCATGCTCCACCCCTCTCCTTTTCTGAGTGAAAATCGTAAAAAAAAATACAGTTATATCACTATGTTATACACCGGTGAGTATGTGTGAGTTCTAATTAAATAAATCTATATTTCTTACCTGTCCTTTGGAAAACGGAGCTCCCAAAACAGCAACAGAATGCGATCGGTTCTGTTGGCAGGAACTCAACGTGAATCTCAATAATCTAGACAGCGGTCCTCTCAAGGCCATGCTGACTCAACCGGAGAGTTATGAAATGCAATACAAAAACGCAGCGGAAGGTTGTCTCAAACGAATAGTCTGTCGCCCGATGTGGCTTTTTACTCTTCTGGCTCAGGACTGGCTGTTGAATCCCAAAGAACTGCCACGACGTTTTTCTTTAAATCTTCCACTTAATTCATATTCATGAGTTCGTGAATAGCGGAAGGTGAAGCTCGAGCTACACGCCTTGGGTGAAATCTCAAAACCGCCCCCCAAAATCTAACAGTCTTCCAGCATCCAATTGTTTCGGCTTAGTGCGGCGTGAACCACGTTTTTCTATTCATAGAGCGGGCAACCTGCGTCACACCCGATGACACACCTTCCTCCCAGCCAATCAGAAGCTCCGCCAGCGTGCGTTTGCTTCAATGAGCGAGGCTTTGGGCGAATGAGTGGCGTGATACTGATACAGTAGATGGGGTGCCTTTTTTGTGGCGTTGGAAATTTCCATCTCTGCACTGTCGACTGCATATGTTTTTTTGGCTTGCCTAATGTCTCGTCAACAAATTCCCGTCTTACAGATGCAGTGGATCAAAACAGATCCAGTGTCCATAGCTTTGCTGCATGACAGAATATTTATGTTCTATAGAAATGTCTGGAATACCAGAATGACGAGGACTGGCAAGTCGTTGACAACTTTGGCCTAATTTCAGTGTTTATATCCACTTCGAGCAAATACACAGAAGTTGACTCATATACATAACTACACATTCGTATATAATTCATTGAGTTTTATTGATTGATCAGTTTAGTTTAGCTAATCACCGATCTGTAATAAAGAACATAGAGAGTGATCAGTAAATGGAGTCAATATTTTCTGCACTTTGGCTCCATCTGGTGGTAGATTTTTTTTTAGATTTGGTTGGTCTTTTCTTTTCACACACAAACACACACATACACACACACACACACACACACACACACACATACATATATATTGCTTACATTGCCAAATTTAGCATTTAATGTCATGTTAAATTTGTTTATCAGATTGCCTTGCTAATGCATTATTTGGGCGACATTATTGCGCCTTTGAAATAGTTTACTATTTCTGCAAAATGTAAGTCAGCTGGACGTTTGGTGTCGCTGTAGCATTGGTGTAATGTTGTGTGCTGTATATCAAAGCATTTCCGGGATATTTTCTTGTTGGGTGGAATGTTTTCGGGGTTTTTTCCCCCTATGCACAAAAGCAGTCTTCATCTAGGTGGCGCTTGCAGGCTCAAAAAAGCAGAATCTTTCATTCAAATCTCGGGGGTTTTTGTCCTACTGAGCACATTCTTAATCTAAAATCGGTATTAGAATAAACTAATTCATTTCAACGATTTGTATCTGACATAGAAAAAAAACACCATCCGCATCATCCATCTAAAATAAAAGAAGAAGAAAAAAAGAATAAATACCAAACAAATGTGATTGGTCCGTCCTGTTTTGCGCTGAGAAAAGTATCAGGTACCACGTAACAAGGCCGTCAACGTGCTGCTTCAGCAGCGTTCTTGGCGACATTATTTTAAACCCGAACAATCACACTTACAACTTTTAATAACTCACACTTACAATAATAAAGAGAAAATTCTCAGTGAACATGAGAAAGCGTGAGAGTTATAAATGTAACCCTTCATCCTTACTAGGTCACTAAGCCCCGCCCATCTGTAACGCAGCTTCAGGCGAAATTGCCAGTCTTGTCGCTGACGATATTTTTGGGATTTTCTATGGATGCTATTTATTATCAGAGGAACGCGTGACCAACTCAAAAGAGAAACATCAATTATTTTACTGATCGTGGCGTTATATATCCATTCCTGTGGCGGATAGGATAGGAGGTGTTGTTATTTTCAGGGGCGTTGATATACTAAAACAGAATTGGGTGAGTCTTAATCAATAATATAGTAAATACATAGGAAGAAAAATATTTTCCAGCCGGCCTCCTAGTTCAATTAGGTTATGATGAAGTGTAGAGTTTTATTGTGGATGCATTGGGTGTTGATTCGTATGAATCATATTGTAACCTGAGTGAAATCAGAGTTGAGATGACTTTGTATGGCCAAACGCTCTTTGGAACTGACATAAATCTCTCTGACAGATCGGTGTATCAGCAAACATGTCTTTCCCTCCTCATCTGAACCAGATAGCCCAGTTACCCCCTGGCATTTCCCCCTCACAGTTTGCTGGGTTTCCAACCACTGTACCTTCAGGTAACGTTACGTCATGAAGGGATATGTATATTTATATATATATATATATATATATATATATATATATATATATATATATATATATATATATATATATATATATTGACGTTAAGTTTATAATCTTTGTTTATTTATATTTTTCCTCAGCAAGTCCGATAATTCCAGTCCCAGTGGGAATGATGCCTCCCTCTCCTGCAGTATGTAAAGAAACAGCTGAAACATTTGTTTTGGTTTCCTTGGTTTGTTTTAAAAATTAACCCTGTTACCAGGCTGAGAAACATTTCCTAGAATATTTCCTAGAAAATCAGGTTTTACAATGTGCCGTATATGTGTGATGTCTGTAGGCTATTTGCCATACACCGATCCTAAGTGCAGAGGCCATACCAGATCTTATTGTGCTTTACTCCTGACCATTTTAAATAATAAGCATACATGCCTGTGCTTTTTGTAGCAGCAAGATGAAACATTTTGAGATGCATGGAACTGTCAGTCCGGTTGTGCTTATTATGCTCTGTGCAGTTTGTACTCTACAGTTTGTTCCTGAAATATGCTGCAGGTTTTGATACAAACTGCAATGCCAGTAGTTCAGAAGCTGACTAAGGACTCCTTTGGCACCCGTAACAAGGACTCAAAGGAAGGTACGGGTAACAACACAGGACCGACCACCACAGTGTTTGTTGGAAACATCTCAGAAAAGGCCTCTGACATGTTGGTGCGGCAGATGTTGGCAGTAAGTGTTGGGAATTTATTCAACAACTTTTATCTGTACAGTATCATTAAATCTCTTAGACACATCACCTTTATAGAATTAGTTCTCTCAAGAATGAAAATTCTGTCATCTTTTACTCACTCTTATGTCACAGAGCACATCAAATATGGTAAAAGGAAGTTCAACCTTACTTGCTTGACACGAGAACAAATGAGGTTTGTTGCAGATTGATGTGCTCAGTGTATGTGCGCTGATCAAAAATATCCTCATTTTTGTTACAAAGATTAATAAAAGTCATGTGAGTTTGGAACAACAAGAGGGTGAGTAAATGATGACAGAATTAAAATGTTCCTTTTAAGTTGATTAATACATCCATTATTTGACCTGGTGTTCATGGGAATGTCTGTGTTATGTAGCATTTTGCTCAGGATGTTTTCATAATCAGCCTGTCACAACAAACATTTTCCTCTCTTCTGCAGAAATGTGGTTTAGTCCTCAGCTGGAAAAGAGTCCAGGGGGCTTCTGGAAAACTGCAAGGTATAAAGTCAAACTATAATAATCATCAGAGGATAGTGTGTCAGTCTTTTGTAGTACACAGTTTTTGACAAAGATCTTCTTGGTAAGTTCTAGCCAAAAAATTTTTTTACAGACTGGGTATTTTCAAATTTAGCTTGACTACTATAGGCCCAGCAGCTTAGATTTTTTTATTAAGGATCTTTATCCAGGATTGTATTGGTAATTGTAAACATGGGCTTTCTTAGACAAGTGTCCTCTGCTCTGTTTTCCTCTCCTAGAAAAGAACAAACAGGAATATGTTCAAAAAGAGATACATTTGTGTCATCTGTCTGCCCTATCTGATCTAATGTTGTGATGTGTGCATTTTAACGTGTGTGTTTGTATGTGTAGCGTTTGGTTTCTGTGAGTACAAAGAGCCAGAGTCCACTCTGAGAGCTCTCCGACTGCTTCATGAGCTGCAAGTGGGTGATAAGAAGTTACTTGTGAAGGTGGACGCAAAGACCAAAGCTCAGCTGGATACCTGGAAGGCCGGTCAGAGGAGACGAAATGGGGTAAACAAAAAAAAATTATTAAAAATGTTATTCAGCAAGGACCACTGTAAAACCTAACAAATGTCCTAACTAACACTTTTTAGTTGACTTTACTTAATGTACAACAATTGGTTGATATTAATTATAAAAATCTAGTAATGTGTAATATTTGCGTACTGTGCCTTTGTTATACAGAAAACCCTAGTTAAGATAAATTGATTGTTGAGTACCAGTATATCAAGCTAGTTTTTAGTTCCCGGCATGCTTTGCATTTTGACTCCAGGAGTAAATTTTGAAATTAAGTGTTATTTTATATGTTTCTGCACAAGATAAATATGGGGGAGATCTGTTAGTTTTTAATGTTCTGTTTTAAAAGGGGTTCTATTATGTCTGCATTTTTGGAGTGGTTGCCATTGTGCTAAGGAGTAGAGCCTGTGGTTAGTTCAAGGATGGCTCTGTAAACATTAAGACTATAGACTGCTTTATTTAAAAAGCATTAACTGCAGCTGCTGATGCAGTGATAGTCTCTCTGTTGGTTATGTTAGCACATGCATATGTGCTATTGCTAACTGAACAGTTGATGCACTTAATTTACTGAAGCAAAACTTACTTGGCTGCTTTTTTTAAGTAAGGGTAACTAATTAGATTTTACAATAACACATTGAATCAAAATGACGAGCATGATTGAGTGCCAAATCAACATATTAGAATGATGTCTGAAGAATCAGAATCAGAAAGAGCTTTATTTGCCAAGTGTGTTTGCACACACAAGGAATTTGTCTTGGTGTCAGGAGCTTCCAAGTGTAGAAAGTACAGACATAGTGCAGACATGCATATCATTTAAGGTAGTAAAATGAAATAAAACACTAACAGACAATAAATAAAAAATAACGCTATGGTAATAAAATATAGCGAAAAAATATATATCAATAGACAGAATTATGAGTGTGCATATGTGCTATTTACAGATGAAAAAGTTTTGATAAGTTATTTACAGATGTACAGTCCTGAGATGTGTTATGTATTGTTTAGATGGAATATGACCTGGGGTAAAAAGCTGTTCTTGTGTCTGGCTGTTTTGGTGCTCAGTAGCGCTGACGAGACGGCAACAGTTCAATGAAAAAGTGGGCTGTATGTGAGGGGTCCAGAGTGATTTTCTGAGCCCATTTCCTAACTCTGGAGGTGTAAAGTTCTTGGAGGTTAGGCAGGGGGCACCAATAATCCTCTCAGCAGTCCTGACTGTCTGTTGTCTCTTGATATCTGATTTGGTAGCTGAACTAAACCAATCAGTTATAGACAAACAGGACAGACTCAGACTTCCTCAGCTGGC